AGTATTCAGGAGCTACCTCTTTCATCCTACCTCTCCATTAATTCTGAAAGTGGCATCATCTATGCTCAGCGCTCCTTTGACTATGAACAGAGCAGAGAATTTCAAGTGGAAGTGAAAGCCCAAGATGGAGGCTCCCCTCCCCTCAGCAGCACTGCCACTGTGAAGGTCTTCATCCTGGACCAGAATGATAAGAGCCCTCAAATTCTTTATCCTTCTCAGGGAGTGCAGGGCTCGGCCTTGTTTGAGATGGTGCCTCGTTCAGCTGAGGAAGGTTACCTAGTGACCAAAGTGGTGGCAGTGGATGCAGACAGTGGGCACAATGCTTGGCTCTCCTACCATCTAGTCCAAGCCACTGAGCCAGGGCTCTTCACAATTGGGACCCATAATGGTGAGATCAGGACATTGAGGACCTTTTTGGAAAGAGATGCTGTCAAGCAGAGACTGGTGATCTTAGTGAATGATAATGGCCACCCACCACTGTCCAGTACTGTAAATCTTAACCTGGTGTTTGCTGAGACCTTCCAAGAGGCCCTTCCAGAAATTAACAACCAACCCAGGGATCCAGAGCATCAGTTGGACCTCCAGTTCTATTTGGTGCTTGCCTTGGCTTTAATTTCCTTCTTATTCCTCCTATCAGTGATTCTGGCCATTCTGACAAAGCTTCGAAGATCAGGGAGTCCCAAATTTTTGGAGTGTTTTGGTCCTGTTCCTCATTCAAATAATGCTGTCATATTTCCACCAAACTATGAAGAAGGAACTTTGCCTTATTCCTATCAACTCTGTTTATCTTCTGAGTCCAGGATACAGGAATTTACCTTTCCTGCACCAAGTTTTCAAACTGCAGAGAATATTTCCTCTAATCAGAAAAATGATCTGCTTTTGACAGCTGATCAAGGAAATACTCTAATTACAGAGATGGATAAATGTGATGGGGTGAGTTTTTTAATGGTATCTATTTTGCACACTGATGTTTTTATCAAATATTTTGTATTAAGTGCCAGATATTCATAGGCTGATAACATTTTCTTGGTAGCTGTATCACAGTCAATTAATTGATACTAACTACTCAAAAATCTTTACATTGTTTTATTTTATATGTGGAGGACCAATTTAGAATGAATGGGAGTTCAAATCAAATCAAATCATTTATTTTGGTCATAGACCAGCACAGGAAATAGAAATCACATATTCATAGAAACTTGGTACGTTTAGTACATTAAAAATATAAATATAACTACTGAAGCACAATGTGGGTGAGGGAGCGGATGGGGAAACAGGGTAAAAACAGTCTGAGTTATATACCCACACTTATCGGTGCCACAGGGGAGAAGGGTAAGTGGGAATGAGACCAATTTATATATTATACTCCCCCCACTTCCCAATTGCCCATATCTTGTGATATTTGTCGGAGCCATCCAGAAGCTGTATTAGAGTAGTCATGCTGTTGGGGCATTTAAGCCTTTGTTTCTAATTCTTTCCTGTACTACAACGGGGACAGGTGTCTACAACACACTCCATATTTTGCAGAGCCAATTTTGCCCTGGATCTTGGATATACTTGGATCAGTAGCAGTGCATTATATGGCTCACATCAGATTTTCGTGTGGCTTTTTTCATGCGCTGTTTTCTGGTTAAATCCATGCTGTAACATGCATTGCCAGTGTGTGTTTTGTCACTACTGTGGCTTTGAGTACACTTCAGACTGCATGATATGGTCAGTTTACAAGAGTCTAAGGATTCCTAATGTGCGAATTTGATTTATACTTCTTTATATGACATGCTTTCTGCGTACATTCAGATTTCTCTTTCCATATAATGAGGTAGGATAGTTGACAAAACCCCATAGCAATTAACATCATTTGCTGCAAATGCAAAGAAATCTGGTTGAAATGTATAGAAAATAACAAAAACTGAAGCATCAAAGGTGCTTAGTATTGTTCTTATGTAGTGGGTGACTAGAATAAATTCGAAAATTCAATATGCGCCATGGTATCAAGTGATTTCAGAAACTCATAGTTCACACTTTTTATATATCTACATTCTGTTAGCAATGGACTGTATCACTTTATGATGTCTATATAAATAATAAACAAAGAGAAAATATAGAGTTTCTATACAGAATGTATCTATTCTCTTGCCCATGTGGAAATAATACTGCTAAACAATTTGGTCCCTTCCTTCCTTCCTTTTCTTCCATTCATCCAGATTTATAATGGGGTGGGGGGATCTTATATAGATTTCATGTTTAATCAAATGGTGGCTTACTATTATTAATTTCCCAATTAACTTCAAAAGTAAATAAAGGTATGTTATTACATACACAATCCATTTTGAAAATATTTAAATAGAATGGAATTTGTGCTATCTGTGACTGTCTTCTGTTTGCTAAGGTATTGGCATCTAGGTTAAGGCACTTTGTAAAATGACATATAAATATTAATATACAGGTCTAGATGAACACTTGGATTTCTTTAGATTCATAAATATATCAAGTATACCAAAATAGAATTTAGGATCAAAATGGCAACTGCATGGACCATAGAAGGCAGAGAGATGAATCTCACAAGCTTCTTGTCTTTGGGGTCCCCCTCTCTCAAACTTTGGGGCCAGTCACTAGCTTATGCAATCAGAGATGTAGCAGAAGACTCCTAAGTGGAAGAGAAGTCAGAAGAGTCCTAACTGGAGGAGAAGTGGTAGCAACAAACTTTTCTGAGGGAGGAAGTGAGTCCTTGCCTGCAACCAGCAAAAAACTAGAACTAAAAGGCTACTAACTTGAAGGAGCCTGGCTTGTCGTATCTTTCTTGTGAAAACATATCTCTTGATATATTGTCGAAGGCTTTCATGGCCGGAATCACTGGGTTGTTGTAGGTTTTTTCGGGCTATATGGCCATGTTCTAGAGGCATTCTCTCCTGACGTTTCACCTGCATCTATGGCAAGCATCCTCAGAGGTAGTGAGGTCTGTTGGAACAAGGAAAATTGGGTTTATATATCCATGGAATGGGTTTTACAGAAAATTCACACAATTGGGCCACACAGTTTACAGAAAACCCACACACAGAGATTGATATCTACATACAAACTCCAACCATCACCCAACAAAAAAAGAAGCACAATTAAAGCCTTGTCAGACCATGCAAAAAGAATCTGCGAACACCACCTTCTCCAAGATGAACTGAACCACCTAAACTGGGCTCTACAAGTCAATGGATACTCCACCTCAGACATCAGAAGAGCTGCAAGACCAAGAACAAGCCACGAGAGTAAAGACAAAGGAAAGAGTTGAAGTAAACAGGTTCCTGGTGTTTGTTTGAAAGATGCAGCCTTTTTCTTATGCAAACTGTCAATGTGGAATATAGGAAGGGAGAAAAAGAGCCGAAAGAATGGGAGCTGGGCTTTGATGGCTGCCAATGAACCTGTAATTGCCAAATTGCTAGGTTAGATGAGCAGATCCAGAAAAAAATAACAAAAGTAGCCATGGAGCTGCTTGGACACCAGAAAGAACAGTGTAGTGCTGGTGCTTTTGCTAGAAGGGGCAAGAAAAAAGTCACGAGAGTGAGTGATAAGGAACAGTGTAGGTCTGTAGGAAAAAAACAGGAATTATATTAGCAGCCTTGGGGGCCACATCGAAAGAAGCAATGGGTTGTCTATTAGAGACTCCTGATGTCACCATATTTGGGATAGCTGACTGCATATGAATGCAAACAGCAGCTGGAGTGACTGGATAATGAATGAGACCTCAATAGCTCAGGATTGATAGAGAGGAAATATGTGGGGAAAGTACTATCTGCACTAGTTAATAGTCAAGCATGGCATGCATCTGGATACCAGGACCAGTATACAAAGGACCAGACCACAACATGCCTCCTCAGATGAAAGGTCACGATTCTGCTTTTTCTGCATGCCAGAAATGCATTGCATTGTTGTGAAGTTTTGTGAAATATTCACCAGTGTATATACATAAATGAAGTTGTTGTGATGTAGTTGTTTGAGTGTTGTCTAGGACTCTCAGAGACTAGGCTTTAAATACTTTCTCTAACTAACTAAAAACTACAGATGTACTTTAGTGTCACTGTAAGTCAGAAAAGACTTGAAGGCACACATCAACAACATATAGAAAATACATACTCAGACTGAATTGTGCATTTCCCTACTTGTGCCATGAGCTATCACTGATACGGAGTGGCAGGGGAACACATTGTAACATCAAAATTCAAGCAAAATCATACTGGAGAGAGATCATTTGGATTAGGATTTCAAGTTTTGGTGAAAGATTTGTGTTTCTTACTTACATGACACTCCAATCATTATTGGATATCACCAAAGATCTGGCACATTATGTAAATAAATTATTTTATTGTAGGAACAACCCATCAGCAATCAGAATTTGGGAAAATGTTAATGCTGCACTTGAACAGTGTTCAGAAGCTAAAGCTGGGGTAAAATGTAGCAGCCAGACTGGCGTCACGTGTGCATTTTAGAAACCATATAATGTCGGTCTTGCAAGAACTAAATTGCTTCTGAACTCAGTTCAAGGTGCTGATGTAGACCTGCAAAGCTCTAAAAGACTTCGGGGTAAAAATTCTGAAAAATCAGCTTCTACCTGCCAAAAACTTGAAATCTTCAGAGGAGGTACTTTTGCATGTCCCAGCCACTTGTGAAGTTAAGTGGGTGGGCATATGTAACATGGCTTTCTCTGTAGCAGTGCTTTGACTGTGGAACTCCCTATTCAAGAACATTAGAGTGGTCTCATCTCTTTTAAACTTCTGGCAGCCAGCCAAGTGAATGCATTTGGTGTTTGAAAGTTTTTACTGTTTATTTATTTATTTATTATTAAAACTTATATGCCGCCGCTCCCCTGGGGCTTGGAGCGGCTTACAAGAACAGGCTAAAATCTAACACAATTTTAAAACAATTTAAAAACAGCAATATCAACGATCAAAGGCCTGTCAAAACAGATGTCTTACATGCTCTGCGGAAAGCTGATAAGTCCCGCAAGGCATGGACTTCAGGTGGCAGAGTATTCCAGAGCGATGGTGCCACTGCTGTAAAGGCTCTGCGTCTGGTTGCTGTTAGACGCAAGGTCTTGACATTGGGAATTTCCAATGTTTCAAAACTTTTAGCCAGCTTTTAGGAATTTTAAAAGAAAATGTCAATGTATTTTTAATTTTTTTAAATCTTTGTATTGTTGTAAATGGTTTTCATTTGTTCATTGTCTCAAGACCCCTTGTGAGCTTGGCAATAATACAGAAATGTGTTAAATAAAAATAAATACATAGATTCCTTTAAAAAAACAAAATGATTATCACATATATAACTAACAATACTTCACTATCTAATCAATCAATCAGTAGAGAACTGAAAATGAAATGAGAATGTTCAGATGGTGATTACTCCTTAAGGTACTTTGTGGCAATAAGATAGTAGAGAAAGCAATATCAAGTTTGTTACGTATTACACTTTAATGTTGCATTAAAAGTCATACAAAACCATAAATAAAGTTTGCCAAATACTTTACTGAAACCCAAGTAGCAAAGAAATAACTCATCTCCAGGCATAGTCCTCAAATTGTATTTAATTTACATCAACACTGTGTTTTGTTTGAAATTCAGCAAAAAGAAAAATTCCCTGCACTTCTTTTTCTGGGCCTCACAGTGGCGATGTTGGCCAATCTTGTTTTCAGTTCAGGATGGAAATGCATTGGTGCTTTCTACAATGAGGTTGCTTCATCAGTGCTGTATAGATAGAAGAAACGGAGAGACCGGCATTGCTGCTAAGAAAAAAGAAAACACATTTGCCTTGCAAAAATTAAAAAGAGCTTGTTCTTCCACAAAGATTTGCCTACCACAAGAAGAAAATTTATTTTGATTTCCTGAAAAAAGGTAGGGGAAAGGATTTCTCAAAAAACCATATGGAGATAAAGCACAGAAAGACTATCAAGGCACTTACAAGGCAAGTATTGCTTTTCTTCCTATTTTCATTCAATTGCTGGGGTGCTTCAGAACAGATTCATTATTCTGTCTCTGAGGAAATGCCCAAGGGCTCCCTCTTGGGGAATCTCGCCAAGGATTTGGGCCTAAATGTCAAAGAACTAGCAAAATATAATTTACATGCTGCCTCAGTGGATGATATTAAATATTTTGTTATCAGCACAGAGAATGGAAACCTCTATATAAATGATAGGATAGACCGGGAAGAAATATGTGGCAAAAATTCACTTTGTTTTGTGAATTTTGAGGTGGTTACTGAAAATCCTCCGGACATTTTCCATATAACAGTTGCAGTCCAGGACATTAATGATAATGCACCCCGGTTCCTCAGTGACAATATCAACTTGGAGATAATTGAATCTGCATTACCAGGCACCCGATTTCTCCTTGGTAAAGCTGAAGATCCTGACATGGGGGTGAATTCTCTTCAGAGGTACCAGCTCAGCTCAAATGCCTATTTTACCCTGGAAGTGAAAGAGAGTCAGGATGGAAATGTGTTTGCAGATTTAGTGCTACAGAAATCATTAGATCGGGAAAGTGAACAGACCATTCACTTAATTCTTGAAGCCATAGATGGAGGTGAACCCAGAAAAACCGGAACTGTACAGATATGGATTAATGTCACTGATGCCAATGACAACCCACCCACTTTCAGTCAAGAAGTTTACAAGGTCAGTTTGAGAGAAAATGTACCTGTGGGGACACTTGTACTCCAGGTTGTAGCATCTGATAATGACGAAGGCACAAATGCCCAAATCAGTTATCACTTCACCAACATGCACCAACAGCAAAGGAAATTTAAGGTGGATCCTTCTAATGGTAAAATCACACTTACGGATACACTGGATTTTGAAGAAGCCAAAGAATATATCATGACAGTGGCAGCAAAAGATGGAGGAGGATTGGCTACACACTGTAAAGTAGAAATTCAGATTGTTGATGAGAATGACAACCCACCAGAGGTAACCTTGGTGTCTTTGTTTAGCCCAGTTCCTGAGAACTCTGAGTCTGATATCTTAATTGCGCTAATCAAGATCAATGACAAAGATCAGGATGACAATGGAAAAGTGACTTGCTATTTGGGAAATGATTTGCCTTTCAAGATTCGTCCTTCATCTAATAACTACTACAAGCTTCTGGCAGATCATCCTTTGGACAGAGAAACAGCTCCTGTGTATAATATTACAATCATAGCTACTGACAAAGGAACCCCTCCTCTTTCCTCTTACAAAATGATTACACTGCAAATTTCTGATATCAACGACAATGCCCCTACTTTCGAAAAATCTTCCTACAGCATCTATGTGACAGAAAACAACCCATCTGGCACTTCCATTTTTACTATTAAAGCCTTTGATCCAGATGTGGGCTCAAATGCACGGATCACATACTCTATCCTCAACAGCAACATCCAGAACCTTCCTATTTCTTCCTATATCTCCATTAACTCTGAGACTGGCATCATCTATGCCCAGCGATCCTTTGACTATGAAGAATTCAGAGAGTTCCAGCTCCAGGTGAAGGCCCAAGATGGAGGATCTCCCCCTCTCAGCAGCAATGCCACAATCAGGGTGTTTATTTTGGACCAAAATGATAACACTCCTCGTATCTTATATCCTTCTCCAGAAGCCAAGGGTTCTGTCTTATTTGAGATGGTGCCTCGTTCTGCTGAGGAAGATTATCTAATCACTAAAGTGGTTGCAGTAGATGCTGATTCGGGACACAATGCCTGGCTCTCCTATCACCTGGTCCAGGCTACGGAGCCAGCTCTTTTCACCATTGGATCTCATACTGGGGAGATCAGGACATCCAGGGCCTTTGTGGAGAAAGATGCTGTGAAACAGAGGCTGGTGGTTATGGTGAAGGACAGTGGACAGCCTCCTCTCTCAGCCTCCGTCACCCTGAACCTGGTGTTTGCAGAGAACTTCCAGGAGGCCCTTCCAGAAATGAAAAACCAGGCAAGGGACTCCGAGACTCAAGATGATCTCCAATTCTACTTGGTGCTGGCTTTAGCTGTGATCTCCTTCTTATTCCTCTTGACAGTGATTTTGGCGATTATAATGAAAGTCCGAAAATCAGGGAATCCCCAATTCCTGCAGTGCTTTGGCCCTGTTCCTCATTCGAAGGCAGGGGCCATCTTTCCCCCTAATTTTGAAGATGGGACTTTGCCTTATTCCTACCAGCTGTGCCTCTCCTCAGAGTCGCAGAGGAATGAGTTCACCTTCATGGCACCCAAAGTTCCAATTGCCAACAATTTTCTTTATAAAGATATATCTGTTACACATTGTGTAGGCAATAATGGAAGCGAATTTAAATCTGAGACGGAAAACACTGAAGAGGTAAGGCTCGGCTCTTGAGATTATATGTATAGTAGAGTACATAGTTCTTTACCATTAGCAACCTTTTGTAATGTAGGTACAATTGCATTTGTGACTTTTCACTTGCTATCTGCTTTTTCCTCTTTCTTTTGTACTGTCAGATATAATTAAATAACTATAGTTTGGAATACTAAACCCATTATTGTAATTATCTATCCTATAGTCATTTGTCATTTGTTCATATTCTCTGTAGTATTTCCAAAATTAAAACTTAAATTAGATGGCCATGAAAAGAGAGGGGGAGAGAATTATTTTTGACACCACCACCCCACGGCTAAGGTTAAAAAAGTATAAATAATGAGTTTTGTTTCTTCCAACATGTTAATAAATACTGGCATTATGGGCCAAAATTCAGGCCACACTAGCATTTGACCAGCAGTGAAGTTGTTTTCCCAGTGTATTCATATGTCCTTATTCTAAGATTGTGGTTAAATCTACTCTGCTTAGCATCTATTTCACATATTTAGAGTTTTCCTGCCTGTCTACCTTTAAATACATAGATTATCTAATAAACATTGTTACCTGTCCCATATCCATTTTGTTGGCTCCTGTGTAATAATATTTATTTATTTGATCAATCATATGACCATTTTAAAATAGAACATGACAAAATAGAACATAAAAAACAAGGCAAAAAGGTGAGGACAGCAACTGACCTTCTATTTATATGTTGGCTCCTGTGAACTGAATACTTGGCTAGGTATTGGATCTGCAATTATTTTTACACTTAGCAAGACAGAGTATAAGCGATCAAAAAACCATATCACAGAATAGCAATATAAACAATGCTAGTGAAATGTTTAAATTAAATACAAAAAAAATGTTGTGTTCAGAGCGGTTTACAAAACATACTTGCTTAGATGTATGCCCCTATGTTTATTGGGCACATGACAACAATAATTAATCTTTCTTATGTATATTTTTAGTAATGAATCATCAAGTGTATATATCCCTTTGCCAAAACTAATCTGAAGTCTTGCAATGTTCACGGGTATTCCAGATGTTGTGGACATAGCTCACAAATCAGAGGACAGTGGCAGGGATAGTATCATTTTTATAATGTGCTATTGGAGAAAACTGTGCAGGTGGAAAACATGCTGTTAGGAAAATAAGAAGAAAAGTAGACACGTTATGCTTAATATATGTAGTATGTTTCAATAATACGGACTACATGCAGGTGAAGTAACCCTCTTCTAAACAAACTGGATATGGATTCTACCCAGAATCCAGCTGGCCAAGGCCACAAAGCCAGGATACTTCACTTTGGTACTCCGCACTGGAATGATCAAGATAATCAGGTATTCATATTGGAGGAAGATACCCTCAAGCAAAACTTTGTCCTTTTAATGAAGGGTAATGGACAGCCTCCTCTTTCTGCCTCCATCACAGTTACAGTGGTACTGGTTTCTTTGAGCTGATAGCATTTCAGGTATGTTGTCTGGTAGCACCACTGAGTAGTAGTAGTAGTAGTAGTAGTAGTAGTAGTAGGGTGTTCTGACTCTGGTAATTTGGTTACTGATATTAGCCAGGTTGGTTCCATGATCATAATCAACAGTTGTAGCACTACTGAAATTTTTAAGAGTATAGGTGGAAGAATGACAAGATAATGGACCTGAGGCATCTTGACTCCTCTATCTGTTATATAAATACATAGTCATCGATATTGACATAGCAGTAATGGCAGATGTGTATTTACATTTTCAAGGGAGGTAACCTTCCCTTACTCTTGAAATGGAAACCACAAAAAGAGTCCTGTTACACAGTAGAGACTGACAGTAGTAATCATGATGATGGTGGTGGTGATGATGATGATGATGATGGTAATAATAGTAATAATAATAATCATCATCATCATCATCTTTATTTATATCCCAGCCCCTCTCCAAACAGGACTCAGGGCGGCTTGCAAAAAATAAAACACAGTACAAAAACCAAAAATAAAAGATGATACATAAACGACGATCTCAAAACCCTAACAGAAAATAAAACACCATACAAAAACCAAAGCAAAAATAAATACATAATACATAAACATCAATATCAAAACATAACAGACTAACATAACAATAACACAGTAGAAAATAACATGAATTAGAAGTTTTTTCTGGATTTAAAGATATTGTCAACCAGAGGCAAAACCAGTTCAACTATAAAACAACAATAAGACCGCCATCACAATAGATTATAAATCAACCATTTTTTGAACGCCTAGTTCCACTTCCATGTTTTTCATTCTTTCCTAAAGGAAGCTATGGAGGAAGCCTGTCTTATTTCTTTAGGGGGCATTCCAGAGCCGGGGAGCCACCACCAAGAAGGCCCTTTCCCTTGTCCCTAACAACTCATCCCCACCAACCGTGTTTGTGTGAGTGGTGGGACTGTGAGAAGGGCCTCCCTTGAGGACCTTAAGGCACAAGTGGGTTCATAGTCACACAAATAGTCTGTACTCAAACCGTAAAGAGCTTTATAGGTAATCACCTGTACACTGAATTGGGCACGGAAACTCATAGACAGTCAGTGGAGCTGCTTTAACAGGGGAGTGGTGTTCTCCCTGTATCCATCTCCCCTCAGTAGATTGTAATCTATGAAAGGATACATCATATTAAATTTTTAACTTGGTAAACTGTGACAAGAGCTTTTGTTATATTTTAAATTTTTCTCACACTCAGTGTCCTATATTGATGATATCTAACACGTTCAAACATACAATGAATTATAAGGAGAAAGCCTTCCTAAATAGTTTTGAGAAAAAATGTATTGGTCCAAGTAGATAATACTGTTCTATCCCTATAGAAATTTTCAGTTCTTCTATGGCCACCACATGACATCTTAGGTTTTCCTCCATTTCTTCATGGATACCAACTCTACATCTTTGGTCAGTCATGTCTACACCAGATTAGGGCTTCACATGATTGCAAATATATACACATAGAAAGCTGTGATGAAAAATCTTCACAAAGTATTCTATGCTATTGTTCCTATGTGTATGTAAGTTTGGCAGATTTTTATAGTTTTTGCCAAATCATGATTCCCATTTGTGTTTTATTCTTAGTTGTATATATGAATGGCTAATTGTGCTTCATGACTAGTGGCATTTCACTCTTCCAGTATGTTAAATACCCCACACAACCAGTATTTACACAAATCATAGTGTATTTTTCATGACCTCATATCCACAGAATCTGCATCAAGGGATTTAGCCAACCATGTTTTGAAAATATCTGGAGGAAATCCAAAAGGCACATACTGAGAGCAATATATGTTGGAATACTCTGCTGTAGACTTCTGAATTCACAGCTCATTAAACTCTTTCTGGCTCTCATTTGAGTTCTTCATTTTTCATAATCGATACTAATTAACTATATCAGTGTATATATTACAATTTCAGCATCCATGGATTTTTATATCCACAGGGGGTTCTGGAATCAAACATCCGATACTAATGACATACTGTATCCTTAGGGAAGGATTAGATTAATACAGCCATCATTTAATATAATGGAATTCTTTGGCCACATCTATGCATTCACTATATTTATATTGTTTTTCTGCCAATTTATCTGTAACAGCATCTTGAGGAATCTCAGAAACTGTAGTTTGGCAAGTACCTTGGTAGAGCTTCATTAGACATTCTTTATCTGTATATCTCATGGACTGCTGGTCAGGAGAAGCAATGCAAGCTATGAGATAAATAGAGAACATAAAACACTGCTCCGGGGATCCCCTTTCCTTTAATTTGCCAGCCTCAGTCATCTTCTCTCTCTTGCATTTATCCAAGGCGAAAGCTTGATCCAGAATCAGAGTTTCTTAAATTACATGTGGAGAGAACAGTTGAATACAATGCAACCTATGTACATTTACTGGAGTTGGATGGATATAGCCATAATCTGAAGAAACCATGCTGCAACCCGAGATTCTCCAGATTTTTAGACCCACCTTGGAGCATGAGTTGATGGCAGTATCATCTGCATAAAGCAGTAAGGGGATTCTTCTGGATCCAAGCTTGGGCAAGTGACTATTGGAGTCCAGAAGGGTATCCTCCATATAACTTGTATGCTTGTATGCTACAGTGTAATAAGGGTCTCTGGACCATAATAAAAATTTACCTACACAGTCAAAAGATTTTTAAATACTCAACTAATGTTTTTTTTTTTCTGTGCGCACATAGTTATTGCATGCCACATATTGGCAACTAGTTACATTTTCAGCAGTTGTCAGAAATGGGAATGTGGGTATTTTTATGTCAGAAACGAGGCTGTGTATTTTTTAGTTTCATGGCAAAAATGGTGGGGATTAATTTGATTTTTAGTAAAGGAAATAACATTTCACCATGATGCTCCGGATAGCACATTTCTCTTTGACATATATACAGGCCATCTAGTTTGGAGTGAGATATGTGCGAGTGTGTGTATCATTTCTGATTGAAAGTAAAGCAAAACAGAAGCATTATTTAATGTCATTTGTAATTTTTTAAAATCATTTTGATTATACGAGGGTTGAATGAAAAGTAATGCCTCCGCCTTCGTAACTCAACAGATGGCAGTGCTGGTATGCGGCAGGTACTGACTTGTTCAGTAGACTCTCCTCTACAGTTCCATTTTGGCAGGAAGCCTTAGCATTGAATGGTTGTGTTATTAAAGTGCGAAGTATGGAACCCTGCACAGACGGTCGGTCAATGCGACTTAAGCAACGTGCAGTCATTGAATTCTTGACAGCAGAAGGTGTCACCTCAACATCTTTAAACTTACTTGCCCAATGACGCACAGTACTCACATCAACACAATCACCATAAACAGCTTGCATTCTCTGATTCATCTCCTTTAGGGTGACATCTTCCGTTGTCAAGAATTCAGTGACTGCACATTGCTTAAGTCGCATTGATCAACCATCTGTGCAGGGTTCCATACTTCTCACTTTAACAACACAACCATTCAATGCTAAGGCTCCTCGCCAAAATGGAACTGTAGAGAAGAGTCTACTGAACAAGCCAGTATCTGCATACCAGTACTGCCATCTGTTGAGGAATTACGAAGGAAGCATTACTTTTGATTCCACCCTCGTACTATATATATATATATATATATATATATATATATATGTATGTATGTATGTATGTATTTGCTAATTTGGGTTTTAAATAGTCATCTCTTATTTAAAGCTATTTGGCATCTTTAGTTTTCATATATATTTAGGAAGAAATATTTACATGAAAACACATCTATAGTATCCTTATGAATTTTGGCTATGCCATAAAACTTGGATTTCATATCAGACCAACCCAAGCATACTGACTAAGATAGGAGGAAATGTATGTATCTTTGTTTATGTGATGTAGTAACCAATGAATAAATTGATGGGCAGAACCTTGATTTCTTTTACTGCAGATAATATTATTCCATAGTACAATCCTGTAGTCCAGAGCTTTCTAAATATATCAGCTTGGTTAATATGGTTAGTAGAATGGACCTCAACCTTAGAACATGAAATGAGCTAAGGTATATGTGTTCTGGTGACAGACAAAGCACCTGGTGA